CAATAAATATTAGAGCCCATTGTCAAATTCTGAGATTTCCTTGGGCCAGCTTGGGCTTTCCTTAGCAGTCACAGGAGTGTGGAAAATAATGAAACCATTCAGTTTTGAACCCAGGATGAGCTTTCTGGACTCACAGTTTTCAGAACTGAACTCAGAATTCTAGATCAGAAGGATTGTCCTGCCAAACTTTTTTTTTTTTTTTTTAAGAATAAGATGTTCTTAAATCTGTCATGCTTAGAAAATGATTGGTGAAGAAATTGTGTTCAGAATTATTCATCACTGGAATTCTATTTTTTTTCCCCTAATGGAACTTGAATTGAGCAAAGGTAAGCAGTGTGTTCATAGCAGTAGATAGCTTATATCACATATAGTAAAGTGTTCAGTATATAATGTGCCTTTGCATGTTTTAGATTCTGAAGCCCATACAACATTTGAACATAAATTGAAAATACTGTCTATGCCTAAAGTTTAAAGTGAACAGTTTTCTTTGGAAAGAGAATATAGTAAATCACAATACAGTAATAGACACTTGCAGCAATTATAAACCTAGGAATTATAGCTGTAATTGTGAACTAAGATGTTTATCTGTGCAGTATTGATCTGTGTACTGTATCTGAAGTAGCTGCTATATTGAGCAGCAAAATGAAGGAATGAAGGGATATAGCGCATGAAAGAAAATATTTATTCTCCTATGTACTAAGAAAATTAATGTCTGCCAGGGTATTTAGGCAGTAGAAAGTTGGAAATCAGTTCAGTCTCTGTTGTGTTTGTATTATGATTGATGGATTACCTAAATAAGGAAAAACAAAATTAACAATATTTAAATTTACCAGGCATATAAACCTAGTTAGTTAGTAAATAAAGGTTTCAATACATAATCTATACATCCATTGGCATTTGTTTTCCAGATGGAAAATATGCCTTGAAAATCACTTAGATATTTAGATTCTGCCTTTTGAATAAAACATGTTTTTTCTGCACAGAGCAAGAATATTCATGGACAATGAGTTCTTTACAATTACTGTATGTTCTACCATTTATTATTGAAACAGTGCAATTAGATAGCAATATATGTATAATTTGAATGTTAGGTTGAGCAGTAGATCCATGAAAGGGGTATAAATATTTGAAGCTGCCATATAAAGATGTCAGATCATCTACCCTCCCGGTCTCTTTCCCTGTTAAGGATTAAAGGCTGGGTATTACGTATGTACAGCAGGTGCTTTCTACTGAGATTAACATGTATGGTCATAATCAATTAAAAATAGACATAGTTTGCAAATGTTTATAAATAAAAAGTATTACTGATTTGTTAAAATGTATTTATACTAAAAGCAACATTGTTTGTTTTGAATATTTATTTAATCAATTTATATAGTCACCCATCGCACCACAGGTGATTCTGGGCGGCATACAACAAAGCTAAAAACAGTAAAATACATTAAATATATATAAAACAAAATAAAACAGAGAATAAAAGGATGTTAAAAATAAGGGAGCCATCTCACTAATTCCCCTGTCCCCTGGAATCCCCAGGTCTGCTGGCACAACCAACTCTTAAGGGACCTCCAGAAGGTCAACAATGACAAGGTCAGCCTCACCTCAGGGGGCAGAAGATTCCCGAGCACAGGCGCCACAGCAGAAAAGGCCAGCTGCCTGGGGCCTGCCAAACATCTCTCTCTGGGTGATGGAACCCGTAACATGCCCTCTCTGCTGGATTTGGTAGGATGGGCAGATGAAATGGGGAGAGGTGGTCCCTCAGTTAGCCCGGCCCCACGCCATGAAGGGCTTTAAAGGTCAACACCAGCACCTTGAATTGGACCCAGAAACAAACTGGTAACCAATGTAGCTCACGAAGCAGAGGTGTAACGTGAGTTCTTCTAGAAACACACACAACTGCTTGCGCCGCTGCATTTTACACCAGCTGAAATTTCTGGATACTCTTCAAGGGCAGCCCCACGTAGAGTGCATTGCAGTAGTCTAACCCGGAGGTAACCAAGGCACAAGTGACCATGAGTAGGTCCCTCTGATCTAGGAAAGGGCACAAGTGGTGCACAATATGAAGTTGTGCGAAGGGCCTACTAACCACAACTCATCTTCAAGCACGAGATGAGTCCAGGAGAACCCCCATATTGCACACAGGGTTTGTTTGAGGCAGTGCAACTCCATCCAGTACCAAGGATGATAAAATCCTAGAAGCAGAGGGTCTCAAAACCCAAAGCCACTCGGTCTTGCCAGGGTTCAGTTGAAGCCTGTCGTTCCCCATCGAGATCCTCACAGCCTCCAGACCCTGAGATAGGACATCCACAGCATCACTTAAGTTGCCAGGGGCGGAGACAGCAACACTTAAGTTGCCAAGGGCGGAGATGTACAATTGAGTATCATCACAATACTGATGATAACTCACCCCATGGCGACAGATGAGCTCACCCAGCAGTTTCATGTAGATGTTAAATAAGAGAGATGAGAGCACTGACCCCTGCAGCACCTCACATAGCAGGGGACGGGGGCGGGATCTTTCCTCCCCCATCACCACTGACTGGAACTGACCCTGGAGAAAGGAGGTGAACCAGCACAATACCGTGCCAACGCACCCCCCCCCCCATTCTCTGAGTCAGTCCAGAAGGATACCATGGTCAATGGTATCGAAAGCCACCGAGAAGTCAAGAAAAGCAAGGATGGATGCACAACCACCATCCCGCCCACACCAGAGAACATCCAAAAGTGCGACCAATGCTGTTTCTGTACCATACGCAGGTCTGAACCCTGACTGAAAAAGATCCAGATAATCCGCTTCATCCAAGGTCCTCTGAAGCTGCTGCGCAACCACCTTCTCAATCACCTTCCCCAAAAAGGGGAGGTTGAATACTGGATGAAAGTTGTCCAGTATTGTGAGGTCCAGCAATGGCTTCTTGAGGAGGGGGCAAACCAAAGCTGCCTCTAGAGTTGGAGGAACAACCCCCTCACTCAAGAATAATTCACCATTGCCAGAACCCACCCACATGACACCCCTCGGGCTGCTTTCACAAGCCAGGATGGGCATGGATCTAGATAGCAGGTGGCTGAGCTCACAGTCCTAAGGACTGAATTTGACATTTACGTCAGAAGTGGATATCTCTGCAGAAAGAGAATGCCATTAGAACTGAATGCTATTCTCCTTTATTTCTCTCACTTGTTCTGGTGTGTTGTGGTGGTCAAACTAAACAGGCAGAGGTTGACGCAAAAAGAAGGTCCATTGTACAAACTGGTCTGCTGGTGTGGCCTTGACAAAGCTCTGATGTATTTCAAACCTGCATTGCGGTTGCAACTAAAAGAAAATGTTTTTCACATACCCCAACACCCCAATTTTAAATCCCATTTATTTGAAGTTTCAAGTGCCTGATGATTCCTGGTTATAGATTTGCACAAGACAAAATAGTGGAACTCTGCTTTTATTTTTAACTGGATGGAAGCAACTTGCTGTCTGAGATTACATAGTTTTTGCAATCCTTTAAAAAATTGCTTAAAAGAGTATTAGGATTAGAATAAACTTCTAGTGAACAAGGGATAATATGGAATAAAAACTGGCCTGTGTTAATAATTTTCAAATATTATATTAAAAAAATATCCATTCTTGTAACTATGCCATTGCTCTTAATTTCTGTAAGATGTAACTACTGATACAGGTTAACGTCCATGAATTAAGTTTTTCCAGGAAATATACAGCATCACTACATTATTAGCATATTTTAATTTTGGGGGAAGAGTTCTGGAAAATTAGAATGCTTGCCAGTGTAAAAAAAGTTGTTAGCCTAATACAAGTAGCATTTGTCTGTAGGTTTGTAATTTACTTCCTGTCTGTTTTTCCAGAAAGGAAGCACCACTGAACTTTTGGGGCTTCTTTTGAGTACTGTAGATGTGCATAGGTTGCCTGTAAACACAGCAGCTTTGCACCAGGAGTGTTTTTTGGCTTGTGAGATGTTTGTTCAGTAGAATCTAGAATTCTATCAACTATCAAGAACGGTGATTCAGTATGATAGGCATAAAATTGAGCACAGAGTCACCTCCAAACACAAGCTAAACAGAGAATTAATGTTCCAAAGGAACTGTGCAGCCCCATCTATTTCCCCCAATTTCTCTTCATTTCTGATACCTTGATTAATGAAGAAAACAACTTCATTGGGGGTGGGTGGGGAGCAGTAGATTATCAGCTATTTTTACTTGCTTTCACTCAATTATCTTCAGTAAACGCAATTCTCCAATTAGCTTAACTGGATACTAATTTAGCACTGATGTGTGGACTGTCCTCCAGAGCTAGTGTTCTTGTGGTGATTACCTGATATGTATTCCTTTGTAGCACATAAATGTGTTTAGTTAAAATGCAAGACAACTTTTTCATTTTAAATACTCTGAAAAGGAGCACTGGACAACGTAACAATCCCTTAAATATCAAATCCAAGAGTTGCTTCCGTATATTTTTAAACTTCCTTTGGGAAGAAATAAATATAGGAAAATCTGTTACTGTAATATCAGATGGCAGTTTGAATTTCCAGTGTCTTACTGTACCAGTATTTCTCATTCTGTAGTGTTAGCTGGTGGGAAAAATGATACTGCATCTAATTATTTCTAAGTATTTAAACATTAATGTGATAAAAGCCTTACCTTGGTTGTAACATTACAGGTAGTCCTCAACTTACCACAATTGGGATCAGAACTTTCGTTGCTAAGAGATGTGGTTAAGTGAATTGTGCCCAATTTTATGACCTTTCTTGTCACGGTCGTTACATTAATCACACAATTGTTAAGCAAATCTGGCTTCCCCCTTGACTTTGTTGGAAGCCCCCTGGGAAAGTTGCAAATGGCAATCACGTGACCCCGGGATGCTGCAACCATAGCAAATACATTGCCAAGCATCCAAATTTTGATCACATGACCACAGGGATGCTGCGACAGTCATAAGTGCGAGGACTGGTTGCAAGCCACCTTTTTCATTGTCACTGTAACTTTGAACGGTCATTAAATGAATGGTCGTAAGTTGAGGACTACCTGTAGTGTGTGCTATAAAATCTAACCAGATTAAAAATGAAGTGGAGAAAAAGAGAGAAGGACCCCTAGAATTTGCTGTATTATTTTTGGATATTGGAAATAATCAGTATTAGCTTTTTGAATATGTAAGCATTTTTCCCACTGAAGATGAAGTGTCCAAAATAAAATGGAAAAGTTTCTTGGAAAACTGTTCTTAAGGTGACAATAGCCAGTTAGCCTCAGGATTTGGAATCTGCAGTTGTGTTTTTTTTAAAAAAACAATTAATGTAAAATATTTGGAAATTCACATGTACTGCTATGAATTTTCAGATCTGCTTTTTAGTAATGAAAGACTTCAAGCAGGCAACAATACCAAAGGAAACTAGCACCAATTTAAGTATTTTTAATTTTCTTACAACCACTTAAAACGGTCATGAAGTACCACAAAATTATATACATTCATTTACAGAAAAACAAACAAAATAACCTAAAATATTTTAAAACCCTTTACCTGATGCACCTAGGCAACAAAGAAGGTGCTTCAGTAGACATTTTATGTGCATATCTTCTACTTTTTAAAATTTTACCCTCAGTTCACACCCACACACACATATATATTAATTAAAGTAAAAATACAGCAAGCAGAAAAGACAACACAATATACATCTTTAATTTATTTTTTTTAGAGCAAAGCAGGAAAGTGCATGTCCAATGAGCTATTACAACTAAGAAATATGCTGGCAGTACCTGCCTTAGAGACTCTTTCAAGAGATTTTGATTGTCTATGAACATTAAGGGAACAATCAGAACAGAAGAGAAAATGTGTGCACAATAGGTGAGAATTAAACAAGTAGCAGCCGGAGAAGCTGATGAATATAAAACTTCAGTAAGATAAGTAAAGTATATAAGGTTCCATAGGGCTTGCAACTAAAGGAATACATTTTTATACACAAAAATCACCTATTTTAAATCAGTCCTACTTCTATGAAGTGTCTAGGTATTCCAGGTTATAGCTTTGCACAGGACAAATAATGGAACTTTGCATTTATTAACTGGAGAAAGCAACTTCCTCTCCTGCATGGAAGTTAGTTTTTACAATTCTTTTAAGAATTGCTTAAAACAATATAAAGGTTAGAACCAATTTTTAACAAGCAAGTGCTAATGTAAACACTGTACTCTGGTGCTTCTCCAGTGTCGATGGTTTTGAAACATGATATAAAAGAGAATTCACATTCATGGCCTTCAGTATACAATCCATTTGTTACAAATCTAAGTTATGGGAAGGGGGTTAGATCGCTGCACACATAACAAATACCACTGAATTATAGATACAATGAAGTTTTAAAAGTATTGTCCTTTCAAAATCCACTCTGACCTCTTACCCTTAAGGCTGCCTTCAAATATAAAGGTCATTCATGGATGTTTTGGGGAAACTTTAATACCAACATGAGCACCTGGCATATAGTCAAATTTACACCCATGAGGTTTCCAGGCAATGTCAGGTTTTTTGTGCTTAGCAAATATTGGGTATTTTGAAAATTTTCACAGTAGGCAACTATCTTAGGCAAAGCCGAAAATGGCATTTAAAGACCTACATTTAAAATGTTGAATTTTATATCTGCTAAAACAACATTTGGCAGTACACCTTGAGTGAACTCATACAGCGTTATAATATTTACAGAAAGAAATAAAATGGCTGATATCCTGGCTTTAGACTTCACATTTTGGCAAAAATCTCTTGCAAAAACCTTTTATTCATGTGTAATTCAACTCTTCTCAGCTGATAAACTTTGGCCTGTAATTCTAAAAATAAAAAAATCTCTGTACCTTGGAAAATTGTGTGCTCAATTCAGGAACTATATGAAGTATTTGATTCCTTCCTTTGTTCTCCCAAATCGTATCATAAAAATGGCAACTACACAGAGTCAAGTTAGAGCAAGGGTATCTTGCACATTAGCCATCAACTTCAAAAAAGTAGCTTGACTTTTCAGACTAGGCTAAATGTTTAGGCTGACTTTTTTTTATCTCCCCAAATTTTAAAGTGTTTCTCAAGACACCAATCAGAAGATCTATTTTACTGCCAGTTTCTAATATATTTTTCATACACTCTTTCTACAGCAGCTAGCCTCCAAAGATCTGAAAACTAAGTTTACCTTTCCACTCTCTCTGCTTTAGGTAAATGTTAATGCAGAAACCAATAGGATTTTCCTAGCTAGAATGTCACTGGACTCATAAAAATATACAATGTTATCTAACTTTGCAGACTTTCCTCAATCAACTTTACTATTCCAACAACCTTTGAATGTCCTATCAGTAGCAAGGCAGATAAGACTGGCTGACTCATTGGGGCAATAAATAGGAAAGAGATGAATGATTTATGGATGAAGTTACATTTTACTAAACTCAGAGATTATTTCAGAACTATTTATGTAATGAATGTTTTATAGATGGTGTTAAACCTTTTAAACTCCAACCCACAAGACATGCTTGAATTGCCTCAAGAAATGAAGTATATCAGTTACTCATGTGTTGCATAGAAATGACTCATTCAAAGTAACAAGTAATGGAAAGCATCTTTTTTTTTTTTTTTGAAAAACCCTTAATGGATCCTACTGAGACCAAAATGATAGAGCAGGACCAAAATATCAGCTTATAAATACAACCTAGATAGCCAGCATCTATTTTACTGGCATTCAAAATATTATTTACAGCAATGTATGGCATATGAAAGCTTTACTTGAAAAACCCTGAAAATCTTGGACATACAAGTTTGTACATATGAACATATCCAATTGGTGCTAATTAAACAGAGCAAGAGTTACATTGAGCCTGATAAAAAAAAGGAAAAAAAGACCAATTTCTTTCTGATGCCAAAAAGAGGCATTTACATTCTCACACACATGCATGTTCTTATAAATAATGGAGCATCTGAATAGCACTAATTTCAATATACAAATCTATTTGCAAACTTGGCCCGCATGTTCAGTTACTTAACATTTTATGTATTAAACCTACTTTGGCTGAAACCTGAAGCATGAAATCATTCTGTCTTTACTTTAGGATCCCATATAGCTAGATACGTTATAAGGAAATTTCTTTCAAGGTACCACATCCTCTCTCTTCCTAAAAGTATTCAATAAGCCCTGCATCGTGACTCACCAGCAAATCGCCAATGCTTTGACCCAACTTGTGAGTAACAAATATTCACTGGCTGAAGCCACAATTTAATTTATGCATATAATGGGTAGAAATGCAGAAGCTGCTCTGATCCCTCTCTAGCTTCCATAAAACCTAGTTTTCCATTCAAAAACTGTTAATGTGTCAGCTTGTTATTGCAGGTGTGGGTAGTAGTTCTCTGTATTAGGTCAGCATAAGCTGATGAACTCAGTTGAATTCTCTGTACATTAAGCAAACAAAACTCCATCTCCTAAAGTGTATATATGGTATGCAAACTATGCCACAATTCTCTTTCTGAATATACTTAGAAGACAGAAAGCAAAGGTCCATGTGTGCATTTGCAAAACTGGAACAATTAACTGGAGAAATTCAATTATTTGAGAGCTAGCAGGAGCTCTGCATTTTAATTCATTTTTCTTCTGAGGATGCAAGTTCAGTTTTTTAAGCAAATAAGAATAAGGGAAGATCGTGTAATTTTCCCTAAAAAGTTACATATTTTTCTAAAAACATTTTCAATGTATTTCTGGTATGGTGTGTCAATATTTCTGTGCAACTTTAGCTTACCATACTACATGCCACATATTAACATCCACAATTTCTAAATTTTCCCTCTCTACCAGCAACATGACAGGCGCAGCCTTCACTATCAGGAGTTCTCCATAATAAAGAGTGCTACGTCTTCAGTCTGTGACTACCAAGCAGCTGCTCAAGGCTATGATTCTGCCAGGACAGTAGAAAAAGAGGGGCATCCTTAATTTAACTTCAGAAAAACAATGCAGCTGATGGTTTTTCTTTTTACTTGCCTTGTAGCCTTTTTTGGTTTCAGAGGTAGAGAGCAGGCTCTAAAATAAAGATCACAAAGAAGCTGTATTTTCGTTTTCAAGCTTTTGGCCACCCCACTTATCTTGGCAAACAGCTAGTCTACTCATTTAAGTTATCTTCAATACCATGAAAAAAAAAGGAGGACGGTCATTCAGCAAACAGTAAAGAGATGCTCATCTTCTGCATTCCTTTCCACATGGTGTAAGTTCTTTCTGTCCACACCACAACTGGAGGAATTTTTTCTCCTCAAAAGATATTTCAATCATCTTTATTCATAAAAAAGCCCTGATGTACAGAATGATTAAAGTACTACTTCCTTAAGCCAAAAGACAGCTGCAAAGATAGTTAGGATTGCATTAATATTTTGCTCCAAGTAATTTTCCCACTCAAAGTGCAAAACTGTAAAGCCAGTTCATAAGCAGTTTCCATCTAACCCTTCTTGGTTCTTCCTGATAAAGGAAGAGCAGGTCACTGCAGTTGTGCTTCAAAATTTCAGGTTCAGCTTCTCCTCCTCCTCCTGCTTTAGTTGGCAAACTGCTGGTAGAAAGCAAATTTAACCCTTTCAATGTGATGGCAAAGTTTAATGGCTGGGCCAAGTTTCAAGTCCATGCACTCCTGAACGGTGGGAAGAGTGAGCAGGAGAAGTGCCTGCCCATCTATTTCCTATCAAGGGAAAAAGAAGAAACAGCAGTTAGTATTAAACAGAAGTCCGTATTTTTAAGAATTAATATTTCATTAATATATTATAAACGAACAAAAAGAATAATACATTATAGTGATTAAAATAAACATAAGGAAAAAAAATGAATATAGCAATATAAAATTAATTCAGTCCTTCATCTTGTTAAATTTAGACCATATGGAAATACATTGTTCTATCTTCTTGTTTTTAGAGTACAGCTAGTCCTCGTTTAGCAACTGTTCATAGTTACAATAGTGATGAAAAAAGTAACTTTATGACCAGTCCTTGCATTTATGACCTTTGGAGGTCTGTAAAGCAAAGGAAAGTTGAAGATCATAAGTACAGTCTTGGTTTCACTTAGCAACCACTTCACTTAATGACTGAGTTGCCAGTCCCAATTGTGGTCGCTAAACAAGGACTACCTGTATAAGGCCATTTCAGAAATTGATAACACACACAGATTTGAATCCATTCCTTAACATTAGGGGTATACATTTTTTCCATATATGCAAAATAAATGAAAGGCTTTAATCTAGCCACATCATAAACACCATTTGTACTCAGAAAGATTCTCAACTCTTCCTCATTAATATGTTGAGTGCCATCTGACCTGAGGGGCCCATCATCCAGCACTGTATCACCAATCTTGTCTATCCATGTGGTTTTCTTGGTGAAATACAGGAGTGGTTTGCCTTCTCCTGAACAGTATGAAATGCCTTTGCTGTTGTCACTAAAGTGATCACCTGACTCCTGTATCTTCCCATACCAGTGCTGCCCAATATAGGTTCCTGATTGCTTTAGCTGGGCAGCTGGGATGACCTTCATGCCTTTGGTGAGCTTGCTGAGATTATATACACTTGGCATTTATTCCCAGCATTCTTTGCTCATCCTTCCCATGAACATCCCCTCCCCACCGCAATGAGGCAGCACAGTAGGACCTTTCATGTGATTTGGATTAAAAGTTTACCTATTAGTGATCAAATGTGCCAGTAGCTTTCAAAGCTGGAAAATACAGTCCCTGCTCACTATAAATTGATCCTAAAACCTGGTAAGATTTTGCAGGACTCACACGTTTACACTCTGAGCCAAAGAGAGCAATATTCGGAAAAGATCCCATCCCAGAGAAATTCTGGCTGCTGTGTGTTTTTGTTTTTATTTGTATTATATGTGTTTTACCCATTTTATTGTAGCCACCTAGAGTCATGTATGTGAGATGGGCAGCCATATCAATCAATCAGATAGTTAAAATAAAGGCCTAGTGATAAAGTTGAAAGTTTGGTAAATTAAAGCCACCATCATAGGACAGTCTCACATAGTCCAAAGAAATCAGAGGAGTCTTAGCTTGCCATGAAAATGTTCTCAATAATTTATCTAATATACATTAAATAGTGGTAAATAATAGTACAGTTCTATGAATATTAATAAACTTTTTCAACAAATACAAACACAGAGGTAAAATGATCAAAACGTTATTTTAGTTGCCGTACTGGTTTCATGTGGTCAATTATCCATGGCCAATAATAAAAAATACCTGATCCAGAAATATTCTAGCTAATGGTGCACAATCTGTAGATTTAAGGAACCGCACAACATCTGCTACACTCCATTCCAGAGGATTGCTGTCCAGCTGTAATTTTTCATCAACTTCTATCTTTATTTCCTATGCCACAAGACACAAAGGCAAAAATATAACATTTTCTTCCTTGGAATTCTCTGTTTTCCAGATAATACCTTTAAAGAAGCTCTATATGAATTAGAAGAGCCACTGATCCGGTATTCTGGGGATAAAAAAAGTCCTATTGTTGAGGGGTAATATGTATGCACTGTCCTGAAAATGTGATGGTGAACTTGAATGTAGAACATACAGTAGTTAAGATATTTACCCCAATTTTGCAATTTCTTAAAGTAAAAGACACAACTCTATACAAAGAACCCTGCTAAAAGGATCAGTGGAAGGAAAAAGAACAGAGGGTGACAAAGAGACACTCGATGTAGCCATATACATAATCAGATTGCTCTAAATTATGAAGAATATACAAGAGTGGCACAGAGGTCAATACAGCAAAGACTGGGCAGTATGGAGCTTCAGAGTTTAGTATAGCAGAGTTGAGCAGGGTTTAGTACAGCAGAGATTCATGGTCATCAACCTCCTGGAAACAGAAGACCTCGAACTGAACTGAAAGTAAAAAAAATGTGTGCTATGCAGTTGCAAACTATTATTATTATTGTTGTCATTGCTGTTGCAGTATAGATGTAATATCTAGTCATCACTGGGATGAAATCTTTTTTTTATTATTTGATGACACTCCTTTCTCATGTATCTTTGAGGACTAGGGATATAACCAGTTAAATAGTCATAAAGGTATGTAATTTGAGTATCCTCAACATCTATTTTATGTTATTTAAAGGGACAATAAAAATTGAGATTGTGATTCTGTTGTCATGTGTGGCCTAAACCTGAAATTTGTTTCATCCAGATCACCAGTATGCATCTTTTTCTATATTAAATATCTGACTGATATCCTGAAGTAGATCATGTTACTTTTTCAATTTCACAGGGAACATAAGGTCCTACAAATATGTAATTTTGTGACCAGAAATAAGTCACCTAGAACTCCTCAAAGATGAGGATATAAATGTTTCATAATGAACAGAATTCCAAAGATTTTATGCTGCATTTTCTGCAAGGAAGACACTTACATTCCTGATTATTTTTTGTAAAGCAGAATTGTATTTTCTTTTCTTTGTCTACATGTCTGTGTTCTTTCTGAGGTCATGGTAAGGACCTGTTAAAGAAGTTTTCTTTTATTCCCACCATTGTAAGAAAATGTCAAATCCACCAAAAAATGAGTCCACTTGAATGCACATGGAAATTAAGAGGTACAAAATTGTTGATAAAAAGTTATTACATTAAATACAGTGAGGTAAAAAAGTATTTAGTCAGCCACCAATTGTGCAAGTTCTCCCACTTAAAAAGATGAGAGAGGCCTGTAATTTTCATCATAGGTATACCTCAACTATGAGAGACAAAATGGGGGGGAAAATCCAGAAAATCACATTGTCTGATAAATTCTTTACAAATCAGACAATGTGATTTTCTGGATTTTCCCCCCCATTTTGTCTCTCATAGTTGAGGTATACCTATGAAATCAGACAATGTGATTTTCTGGATTTTCCCCCCCATTTTGTCTCTCATAGTTGAGGTATACCTATGAAATCAGACAATGTGATTTTCTGGATTTTCCCCCCCATTTTGTCTCTCATAGTTGAGGTATACCTATGAAATCAGACAATGTGATTTTCTGGATTTTCCCCCCCATTTTGTCTCTCATAGTTGAGGTATACCTATGAAATCAGACAATGTGATTTTCTGGATTTTCCCCCCCATTTTGTCTCTCATAGTTGAGGTATACCTATGAAATCAGACAATGTGATTTTCTGGATTTTCCCCCCCATTTTGTCTCTCATAGTTGAGGTATACCTATGAAATCAGACAATGTGATTTTCTGGATTTTCCCCCCCATTTTGTCTCTCATAGTTGAGGTATACCTATGAAATCAGACAATGTGATTTTCTGGATTTTCCCCCCCATTTTGTCTCTCATAGTTGAGGTATACCTATGAAATCAGACAATGTGATTTTCTGGATTTTCCCCCCCATTTTGTCTCTCATAGTTGAGGTATACCTATGATGAAAATTACAGGCCTCTCTCATCTTTTTAAGTGGGAGAACTTGCACAATTGGTGGCTGACTAAATACTTTTTTGCCCCACTGTACAATAAGGGTTTGCACACAGACTAGAAAGGCACATTTTATCTACTATAAATTACAAACAATTACTCAGTGTTTTCCTAGTTAAAGGAATAAAGGTCAATCATCCATCTTTAGGTGTAGATTTAATCCCTGGAGAAAAAAAATAAGAAAACTGATTTCTCAGAATTTTTTTAACTTGACCAAGTGAACTGAAGACATCCCCATCTTTAATTGATGACAAGTTTAGAGAAACACTTAAGGGAAATTTTGTTTTACAAGCAGTGAAATATCCTGTCAAGCTTGCTAAGTTACATAATAGACAAATCCAGCAAACATCTCTCTCTCACACACACACACACCCTTGTTGAAAAGCTTGACAATTGTTACATTTTTGAAAATTAAGATATACCTTTGGTGAAGGTGGCTTATTTTCATCATCTGAGAAAGAAAAAGTCCGTAGTTTTCTTTTCCGTTTGCTAAGTTACATAATAGACAAATCCAGCAAACATCTCTCTCTCACACACACACACACCCTTGTTGAAAAGCTTGACAATTGTTACATTTTTGAAAATTAAGATATACCTTTGGTGAAGGTGGCTTATTTTCATCATCTGAGAAAGAAAAAGTCCGTAGTTTTCTTTTCCGTTTGTCCCGGTCTGGAGCCCCAAAATGAGACTGCTCACTCTGTGTTGGGGAAGATGACTGTGATTTCTTCTCTGATACTTCAGACTCCTCAAGCAGTTCCTCCTGATGCTCAGAAGTACTGTCTTCAGTAAGAGATTCTTCATCTACCTCATCCTGATCATCCTCTTCTTCACCTCCACTTCCCTGAAATGATATGGAACAGCTCAGAATAACACTGATTAGCAAAGCTTGCGTGTAAAAACATTTGTCATCACCTTATCCCACAGTCTCTCTCTATACACTCATATATTAAATACATCCCTCCTAGTTGCATACTTGGGGTGATCCCACTGGTGTATTATCCACAGAGGTAGAAGATCGCTTCTTCTTATGAACAAAGAAGTTTTTCCGTTTTTTTCTTTTCCTATTTGCTTTCTTCATGCTTGCCTCCATGTTGCTGTGGATACTAGGTGGTCGGCCAATCCTTTTGTTTCTCCGCTTCCCATAATAATGGGCTATGGGAGGTTAAAATAAAAGAGTTAACATGAAACACAATTCATCATTTATTAGTCCTTAAGAAGACAACATTTTAGAGGCAATTTTACTATGCATACAGTTTATTTTGGTTGTGTGCAACCTTTACATTACTGTAGTAACAATGGTGGGATATGCCTTAGAAAAAATAGCACAGTGTTTCCAAAAAGCAGGATGGGGTGCCCACCAATTTACAAGTCAAATTGGTCTATAACAATTAGTATTCAGCTGTCCTAATACAACAGTGATGTTACCGTGAGATGCAATCAAAGAGAAGAGCCATTTTTAGCATAAGAACAAATGATACAAAGAAGGGGTGTTTGGAGGGGGCATCAAAAAGAGAAGGCAATATGTAAGGTGCTAATGCAAGTAAGTGTAGCACTTTATTTTTTACTAAGATCTCAAACAAACAAACAAACAAACAAAAAAAGCTTTCAGAAATTACAGTGACAATGGCTGGATTCACATAACACACTTAGCCGTAACATGCTTTGCTAAATTTTGGCTAAGCTTGTTGTGTGAACCCAGCCTCATGCTGGATTTCTCCACTGAGTAAGAAATGATCCAACTGTTATGAAGGAGATCTGCAAGACTATCTCCCTTTGTATTTCTTTTCAATTTAATGCAGCCATAATTTGGTTTGAGATATTGTGATGTCTGAAGCCCAAAATATGGTCACTTCATGGTGAAGTAGAAGGCCATTAATCACAGATGGTACCCATGATTTATTATTAAGTAGCATTAATTCATGGGTTAGTATGTTAATCCAAACAACTGGCTGTGATCCAATTATACCACTGAAGGCTTTGTTTTTGTTTACTGAAAGCCCTAGGAAGTGCCAACTGGCAGCCATCATAATAAAGCTTTTGGGATACTGATGAAAAAGGGAGGTGACTGGCAAACCATGGCCATTTGTGGTCTGCTGTTCCCTGCCTAGGTTACTGCCTTAATTATTATTACTTGATTATGGTTAACACTAGGCTATGCTTAGTGTTACATATGGTTTATATTATTCTTGCAAAGTTGCTAAGTTTTCCCATGGAGTTAGATAAAATTTTCAATCCCCTGTAGCTTTTCTGATGTGAAGTTAAAAACTGAGGATTTAATTATTCAATGGATAAATATTAGATATGGAGTTACATGGACCACTGCTAAGTGAAATGATCCTTGGTCAATGATTCTTCCGAGAATGTAAAATAGAAGTGACATGACCAGCTACTTTCAAGATATTGCACATTTATTGAAAAGTGCTCTTTCTCGCTGCCCACACATTACCATATTTTTCGAACTAAATGAGAAAGGCCAATACCACAATTACTTACTGTATTTGGTTTTTGTCAGAACAGAGCAGTTCTCGGAACATTTGTCTAGCACCATTTGGGGGCCAAAGAGATTTGGACAGCATTCCAGTTTGATGCAAGTCTGCCTGCAGAAGTCTGCAACTCGATCAGCTGTTCTTACAACCTCCACTGTGGCTCGATAGCTCTTTCCTTTATATCTGTAGCAAAGGAAAGTTTCATTAAACACAGACTGGATGTTCTAGGTGTTTGTTTTCTCAGAGAAATACACATTAGCTTGGTTCATACAGCACAGTAACCAAACCGAAGCATATCATATTATGACTTACAGCCCATGACTTTGGCTATTTTGATTTGTAAACCATGGCTTGTTTGCTTGCAAATCCAGTGAATTGTAGCTTATTAAATAAATAATTATTAAACTATGGATTAAAGTCTGAGGCAGGCCAGTCCTAAAGTCTTGCTAAAAACATAAAGAGAGGAAGAGAGTTTGAGTAAAAGGGATATCACCATATTTTTAATTTCTTGGTTTAAAATATTATTTATTTATTTGGCTATGTAAGGGTGTCCAACTCCATAACTGACTTTGGGCAGTACAGAAATAAAAAGCATGTACAGTACCTAAAAGAAAATGAAAGAAAATAAACGTGGGGTGAGGGGGAAGGGGAGGAAACAAACATACACCATAACCAAAATAAACAATACACACATGATGGTCACCCCTTAACCCTTCACAGAGGTTGGGGGGAAAATACAGATTTTCAGGGATTGTTTAAAGGATTGCAGTGTCGGGGTAGTCCAAACCTCCAGGGAGATGCTATTCCAAAGGGCAGATACCATGAGAGAGAAGGCATGTTTCTTAGGTCCTATCTGCTTAATAGACAGGATGTGAAGTACACCCATTCTGTTGGAACTTGTAGGACAGGCAGAAATAATGGGATGGAGGCAGTCCCTCAGACAGCCAGGCCCTATGCTATGAAGGCCTATATAGGTCATAACCAGCATCTTGAATTGTACACGGAAGCTCAAAGGTGTTAAATGAGCATATCTAAATGCGCCCACAACTGTTTGCGCCACAGCATTCTGGACCAGCTTAGGTTCTGAGAGATGTTCAAGGGCAATCCCATATAAACCATATTGTAGTAGTCTACAAATGAAGTGACCAAGCCACGAGTGTCCATGAGAAGGGATTTCCTGTCCAGGAAAGGCTGCAACTGGCATATCAGATGAATCTGCACAGGGCCTTCCTGACTACAGCTGCCGTTTGCTCTTCAAGCAGGAGCTGTGAGTCTAAGAAGACCCCAAAATTGCACAATTTACAGTGATCGCCCATTAAAGTTTATCGCTTAGTTATTAGTTATTTACAAAAACTCTGGATTAACAAATTGGCATATCCTGTATCAGCAAATTAATGGCGGCAAACGGTCTTAAAGTAAAATTTCTTATGCTTGTAAGATGGAATTAATTGAACATTTTGTGTGTATTTATTAACTTCATTATGTCAGCAATGCTAAATAAATGAAGGGTCTTTTATTCATATGATGTGGGCTTATTCTATGGATTTAATGAAAGTGGTAGAAAAGATCACTGCTCAATGTTCAAAAGATAGAGCTACCCCAGATTTACAAACTTGGATTACTTGTATGTGTTTCTTTTCTGTGTGAGCTGAGTTTTTATCAATATAATGGAGGCATTAATTAGTATTACTTCATGCGGTCAAGGTATAATAACTATTTTAAAAACTAGGCTGAACTGTACAGGTAGTCCTTGGTTAACAACCAAGTTATGACAGGGCTGAATGAGTGGAACTTATGACAGCTGTTCAAAGTTGCAGCCACTGCAGCACCCCTGTGGTCAAGATCTAGGCGCTGGCAACCAGCTCGCATTTATGATAGTTTAAGTGTCCTGTAGTCACATGATCACCATTTCCAACCTTCCTGTTGGCTTCCTATAAGCAGAGTTAATGGGGAAGCTGGCAAGTAAAGTCACAAGTTACCCCTGCTCCCGTTGCTCTTTCTCCCAAGGAGCCCCACTACAGAGTATGAGCACCCACCTGTGCAGCAGCTGCAGCATCCCCCTGCCCAGCTGTGCTGCAGCACCCATCTGCATGCCCACCCACACTTGCGCTGCAGCACCCCCTACCCAGTCACACTGAGCCACAGCACCCACCTGCGTGCCTGGCCACATTCGTGCTACAGCACTTCCCTGCCCAGCCATGGTCATGCTGGGCTGCAGCACCCGCTCCCTGCCTGCCCAGACTTGGCAGCACTCATCCGCCTGCTGGCCTGCTTGCTAAAAGGAAATACTTGTCGTGACCAGGACTTGCAACTCCCTGCCAGCTTCCCCACTGACTTTGCTTGTTGGAAGCCAGCAGGAAGTTGCAAATCCTAGTCACATGAGATCCTTGCTTAATGACCCGCAATCCTTGCTTAACAGCAGTAACAGGGACTGCTATCACTAAGCAATGCAATCACGTGATGTTGTGCTTTACAACCCCATTGCTTAGCAATGGAAATTCTGGTCCCAATTACCATTGTTAACCAAGGACTATCTGTATATGATATCATTTGTTTCTGTTCTTTTTGGGGTTCTCTTCTTTTTTATACTCTTTTTCCTTTTTTGCACATTAAAGCAATACCTATGTTAAAAATGCTTGCCTTTTAGTTTATGACAAATACTATAGCCTCCAACTTTTCTCTAAGAAGGGAACATCAAAGGATCTGAAGGCAGCACTGGTTTACTAACAATTATTCCAGACAACAGGGACAAGAGACCAACCATTCCAAGCCAGAGCTGAAACATAATAGTTACTAAACCACTAAGGTTTTTCTATTTCAGGTACTGTTATGAGAAGTGCTCTGAAATCACATTATTATTATTTTATCAAGTTACTTTCAAAGCAAAAGCAAATAAAAGAAATTGTAATAACCCAAAGTCTTTTATTCCCTTTCTGCTTGAGTAAGCCTCTTAACCTTTTACTGAATAAGTAAATCAGTTGCTTAAGGCAGCTCAAAGATGGTTATTAAATTGGTATGCTTGTTATTCCCATGTAAAAACACCATCAGCAGAGCAGAGGGTTTAATTAGGAAATACTAAGATTAGACTAGCAGTTTTCCCTTCCCACGTCCCTTGCAGCCAACCAAAACCTATAGTAAATTACAGGGGAGAGAGACTGGAGGGGGTTATTTGTTCTGTCACTGATTCTATTCCCTTGGCAGAAAGACAGCCCTGAATCCAAAGAGTGCTGACATTTCATGTGACTTTTCACCCCTTCAAATGATTTCTTTTCTCATATGAGAGTGACTTATATTTACAGTCACGATTTCTGCTGCATCTATAAAATACATTATCCTGGTAACTTTTGATTTTTAAGGTTGACTGGGGTGGGGGCATATGACACATCAATAAAAGTCCCTTCATCCATGCAGGGAAGCACTGGTATACTTGGAAAGTTTATGCTTGTCTCTATCCTGCCAATTAAGTCCTGAAAATGCCATGCCAAAGCTGTGTCAGTATAACTAATTAAGCCCTAATAGCAAAATATAAATATATGATATGGAGTACTTTACTTTGCTTTCAAAGTCTCTCCATATCCATGCCATGCAGCTTCTTCATCCAGCTGTATTTCTCTAAGAACACGGCTAGGTTTATAAGCAGCGTTGATCAACAAAGAAAGAACCTGAATTCAGAGAGAGAGAAAAATAGACACACTATTAATTTGAACAATAAGATTTATTTTAATTGATTACTGTGATTTAGCTGTTTAATTCTCTTTATATGAGCAGTATAACAAGACTGTAACAGTAACTGCAAAGCAAAGTTGTCACTAAACTAAGGACTGTTTTTTGTTTGTTTGTTTGTTTGTTTGTTTGTTTTGGTGCCTTTGAGTCAATCGTGACTCTTGTGGCTACCTGGACAAGTCCCTGCAGTTTTCTTGGGAAGATTTCAGAAGCGGTTTTCCCTTGCCTCCTTCCTAGGGCTGAGAGAGAGAGAGTGACTGGCCCAAGGTCATCCAGTTGGCTTTGTGCCTAAGGCAGGACTAGAACGCATGGCCTCCCAGGTTCTAGCCTGGTGCCTTAACCAGTGCACCAAACTGGCTCCCAACTAAGCTCTTAACAGTGTATAATTTGATTGACATAGATTCCAAAACCTATCAGCATTCCATGCTCAGTGTAATACAATGTTTTTATTAATTTCCCTCAATTCTGTTCAGGGATTACTATACAATATTTTCCTAGCAAATGGTCTTTTAATTAATCTAGAATGTTTATACTTCTATGCACATTTCATTTCTTATGATTGCCAAGGAAATAATAGTTTGGAATAGTTGGCCTTATACTAAATATTAAGGAACTAAAGTCTAATGACAAATAAGGAAGGTAGGGAGTCTAGAGGAGGCCAGCTTCTTCCAAACAAATGCTCTTCAGATATCTTAGGCTACAACTCCAAGATTGGCAATGCTTTCTGTGGATAATGGGAGTAATAGTTCCAATATATCAAGAAAGCAGCAGAGTGGTGGTGGTAAAGTGACCAGATGGAAAAAGGATCATGAAGAGAGTTTCACTGAGCAGGAGGCTTATGGAACCGGCAGAGAAGATAAGTAACCAAGCCATGAATGAGTTAATGAAAGGGAATTTGAAGAAATTTCACAACAGGTAGTTAAACAGCAGGGGCTATTTACTACAGGTATGAGAGAAAGAAAAAGTGTTGTTAAGGTTAATCAGGATGGATTTAAATAAAGAAATATACACCTAGCCACCCAGGAAAATACCCTGAAAAGTCCAGAGAGTGACAGCTGTTCCCTTTTATTTATTTCAAAAAGTGAGCCAGCTATAGAAAAAGAGGCATACAGCCCCAGAATAATGAAACTGATTTGTTGAATATCATAAAAATTATGTAGCAATGCTGTATCTTGAGTACTAGACAGTATCTGACAAAGCTGCCAATAAGAGGCACTACCAATGACATTTAATGTGTAGCTGAAATCCCCAGAGGTAGCTATAATAATCTAGGATGTTCTTAAAGGTTTATTGATTTGTCATAACAGATCCAATTACTGACTCATCAAATTTGGTATTTTGCCTTGGGCAGTTTCTGCTGCTACACGATTCAGTACCAGGTATACATCCCTAACTTCCATATGTCACTTAGGTATTTCTACAATACAGAAAATTAATTATAAACCCCATAAAAATCTAATTTTCCCTTTAGCGTTTTATTTATTGACAGCAAGTTTCTACTCCATCTACCTCTTCCAAAACAAATCATTCCAGTGTGCTTATATAATAACTTTAAAAAAACAATCATTTTAAAATACAATAAAAACTGCAATATGACAGAAACTGTGTTCCACAGGGAACAAAGAAAAATGCTAGCATGCACTAGTAACTTAAAGTTGTTTTTTCATGCCAGTTCCTAACCACCCTTATCAGCCCATCAGCACAGTGATGTATTATTTCCCCTGATTAGATGCTAGTTAATGAAAGGAATACTTTTCCTTCTATTCTGAGTGCCAGTCAGAGAAGTAGAAGCAGGTTTGGGTGATGACTCTGCCTGTCAGTCAAAGCAAAAAAAAAAAAAAAGTGAAGGGGAAGGGAATTGGGTGGGCAGAAGCAAAGAGAAAGGACAGCAGAGCAGGAATGGGAGCAAGGTGTGAAGAATCAAAAGGAATAGAAGGAGCACTGAAAAGGAGCAATGGAGCCACCACTACGTTCATGTATAGTCTCCAAGGACATGGGGGGAAGGGGGGAGCTTTTAAATGTATAAAGTATAGAATGTTATATTGAACTTGTCATCATAAAACAATACCATGGTAGTTCATCATAAAGTATTATGAATAACTACAGTTTTTATAAAATAAAAATGGTACCAATGGCCAATCTAATTTCAAGGAGGAGGGGATCCTTCAGCCAAACTGCTACGATTATGAAAGTCTTATGACTAGTTCTAGAAATCCAAAATTTGGGGAACATGTAGCCCAAAACATACATGGTAATACAGGTAGTCCTTGACCTATGACCATTCATTCAGTGACCGTTCAAACTTACAACGGTGCTGAATGAATGGTGGTTATGACCCGTTCTCGGAGTTCCAGCTGCCCCAACACCCCCACGGTCACATGATCGCAATCTGGGCACTTGGCAACCAGTTCGCACTTATGACCGGTTGCAGCACTCCACAATCACATGATCACAATTTGCAACCTTCCCTGCTGGCTACCCCAGAAAATCAATGGGGAAGCTGGCAGGGAAGGCTGCAAGTTGCTGGGGTAAGTCACCCCTACCCACACATCCTCCCCCAGCCCCTTGGCTTTGGCACCACGTCAACCACTTGCGCACCCTCCCCAACCCATGTCACATTCTTGTGCACCTTTCCCAACCCTTCTGCACCCTCTCCAACCCCTGCCGCACCCTTATGCAGCCTCCATGACCCATGCTGCATCCTCATGCACCCTCCCTGACCTCGCGTGCCCTCCCCAAACTGCGCCGCACCCTCTCTGACACATGCCTCTTGTGCACTCCCCTGCTCCCTCCCCCACCCAGCAGCAGCCACTTACCTGTTTGCTGGCCTGGGACTTGCAACTTCCTGTCAGCTTCCCCACTGACTTTGGTTGTGGGAAGCCGGCAGAAAAATTGCCTTGCCTAACAACTGTGGGATTCGGTTAACAACTTCAGAGAAGGAAGTTAAAAAGAATCAGGGTAAACTACCTAAAACATTTTTTGATTTGATGGACAATTTATCCTTAGTGGATATATTGACACAGAAAAATGGTACTTCTGAAGAATATACTTATTTTCCAGAAAGATATAGATTGTCCTCAAGGATAGAGGAGGAACTTTTGTTTCTGTTAGTTTTTACTATGTCTTTTTAAAAACTTAATAAAGTTATCATTAAAAAAAAAAAGGATTTCATTAACAATGGCAACAGGGACTGTAGGGATTGCCATCACTAAGCAATGGGGTTGACCAAGTTTAAATATAAGAAGAACAGGAATAGAAAGAGATCCAGAGAGAAGCTGGCTATTTCCTTTTTCCTTTTTAGATTTTTTTTATCCCGCTTTTATTACTTTTATAAATAACTCAAGGCAGCAAACATATCTAATGCTCCTTCCTCCTCTTATTTTCCCCCAACAACTAAACCTGTGAGGTGAGCTGGGCTGAGAGAGAGTGACTGGCCCAAAGTCACCCAGCCGGCTTTCATGCCTAAGATGGGACCAGAACTCACATTCTCCTGCTTTCTAGCCTGGTACCTTAACTGCTAGATCAAACTGGATAAAAGGCTACTGTGGAACTGCTATTTAATTCATGTGTGACCTTCCAGGGACAGTTTTTGAAAGCTTAAAATGTACATGTCTGTAGTGCAATAAACAACGAACAGCCCATAAAAAGCCAGGGAAAGGCTCAAAATGACCAACTGGAGATAGATGGTAGAGAAGAATGAGAAGAAGGCCCTTGATCATAAAAATGGAAGGCAAATGTAAGTATGATGCTCAAGGAAAGGTTCTACAAATCCTACTGCTGATTTTGCAGTTCTCTTCATAGCTATTGTGGGATATTCTTCCAGACAGCAGAGCTACAAAGTACAGTGCCTGAAGATCAGGGAACAAGCCCACCTGAAGTTGAAGTTGGGTCTACCTTTCTGCTACTCCAGGATCTACATATTTTTGGCCAGAGATTTGCCCTGAAAGACATTTGTTTTGGAGGTTTATCCTTGGCAGTTCTTCCCATTGTTCAAAGTTTCTCTCTGCCTGCCTGCCTGCCTGATAACAGTTGCTTCACTTATGGAGCAAAACGCCCAGGACACTGAAATGATCAGTATGGAGTTTTGCGAGTCTCCATTTCTTTTATACAAAGAGTGTTCATACCTGTCAGGCAGGAAGGGGTTAAGGACTGTGTATCACTTGCAAAGGGGGGAGGAAGACCGAATCTTATAAAAAATGCATAGAACTAAGTAGTAAAAAAACTCCTCTTACTTCATTTTCATTCAGTCACTATAAACTGCACTTATTACTGTAGCCCAATTCCCAGAATACTTCTAATATTACTTCTGGCTTTTCTAAATGACTGTTGGTTCTTTCTGGACTTTTGATGACTTGTGGTGTTCTTACTGTATTGTTAAGTGGCCAATGTCATAACAGATTGGGGCAACCTATACATGTAACAAATAAAAAAATAAAATGCTAAGAATTATAATTTATTAAATTTACATACTGCTTGATTCCCAGCAACTCTGGGTGGTTTACAAATTGTTAAAACATTTAAAACCAGAAAACAACGCAAAACAAAAAAGAACAAAAATGCAGAGGTAACAAACCCAGACAGGAACAAAGAAACGTAATTATTTAATGTTTATCTCATTCTTGGAACCAAAGGCTCTTTCTTGTGGAATGTACCACTTTCCATCCCATTTTGAAAGCACTATCTAAATATAATTGGGCCTGGGATAAAAATGCAAATAATTGATCTGCAAAAATTATTTCAAGGAGATTACTGTTCTTTCTTCTCATCTTCTCCTAACAAAATTCCAACATTCCTTCCAACAGAATACACGAATGAGTAAATGGTGCTGCGCATATTCAGCCATGCACTGCAGATGCCCTTACCTCTTTAAGAACAAGGACACAATTCCCAGGTCCCACAGACTGTGGTAGTTCTGCAATTCTCCCTTTGTTAAGATAAGGTCCTGAGAAGCACCGGTGGTTAAAGTAGATCTTTGGGCAACAGTATTTACCATTTGTTACAACTGGAAAAATAAAACAATTTCTGAATACAAACACCTACTTCAAAACATTAACATCCAAAAGACAAATGAATTAACAGAAAATAAAGTAACAGGCAGTTTCCTATATATAATGTACAGTTTTTGATGGGTATATATAATAGAATTAGTCTGATTCAGTTTGGTACTTAACACCCACAGTCTACTGCCTCATAGTCAACTTCTAAATACTGGTCTTCTTTGAAATACACATTTGGTTATCCTTCCCACTTGGTTATTTCAGCCACTGGGAATGTTAAATAATCCTAAAAGTCAGTGGTGTGTTAACCTAATTAACCTTGGGATGGGGAATGGTCCAAAATAAAGTTGCCTTGTCTGAGCTTCAATGGTGTTTCTGCTGGTGCAAGACATCACTGCACCAAAGCTGTGAGGGCTGTCTGAACAACTAAAACTGCCTCCTTATTTACAAGAAAATTCCTGAAATGTTAGGTGAGGCTCCACACTCTAGTGGTGAGGCACAAAACATGCTAACTTCCTTCAATTGCAGAAGTCTTTTTACAAACCATGAAAGCTCAATTTCAACTTTTTTTTTTTTTTGGTGAATATATTTGGGTTACATTTGGAACTTACCATAGTTCTCTAGAAGAAGTGAGAAGGTATTGGTGTTTGTTATTTTCAGACTGAGCTATTACTACATTCATCCTTATTTTCATTTACTATTAACCTTGAGTTTTTGCATCTGGACAGTGCATGCCTTGGTATTCGTAACTTCAGTTTTAGATAGAGTACAAACATTATTGCTTTACCAATTTTTCATTATAAAAATTTAGGAGACAAGATTTAATTTTACAGGAAAATGCAACCTTTTGGCAGTGCTTATATATACTTTTTATAATTAATAAGAAATTAATATATATAATTTCTATGTTTCCTGAGCTACAAAGTCTGCATCAAATACGCACATACACACTTAGGGACATGCAAATAACACCTTCCTGGGGTTATCCTAGATATTCACATTAAATAATCTGAAGAAATTTTGTGACATATGTCAGAAAACCAGATAAGAGGCACATCAATGCTTTCTGTCCTATCTCTAAATGAGTAGGGCTTGTTGAAAAATTGCTAGACTAGATTTATGAAAGCAAGTTTACTTTATCTCTTTACAGTTCAGCTTCAAGGACCACCAATATATAAGGCTACTATATTGAATCCTCTAGAATAAAGTGGACAGTAATTGTATAGTTTTCATATTAATTAGTCATGCTCAGGTGGCATGACTACATGACTGCATCTCAAAGCCAAACAAAAGCTAATAGATGCAAGCAACATAAAAAAAAAAAGATGCTATGGAAACACTTGGAAAACAGGCTATGTTATTATTATTGTCATTCTCCTCATCTTTTTTCTTCTTCAGCCTGCTGAACCAGCCACCAGGAAGTTCCTGGTTTTTTATGTTGTCTACATTGGGGCTGCAAAAAAGGGAGAGGCTGTCAGGCTAGGCCAATAATCTATGGCTGGTGAACTGCATTTGGCTTGGTAATTTCACAAGATGTATCTGTCTCATCAAAAACACTGGTTAATAACCCAGTAATGGATGGTTGTCTCAAAAACTAGAATTTCCAGTGTTGTATTGATTAAGGATTAAACAATCCTTATAATTACTTTATTGCTCAAGACAGCAAAATAAATCAGCAAGCACCTTTGCCATGTGAGATCACTGAAGTTAACTCATCTTACATTATAGCTATCCTTGGGCTAAGAGTTACTTTCCCTTAAAGCCATAATGTCAGGCGGTTTATCAGTGGCATAGATAAACATGAGATTATATTGATGTAACTCCTCTCCATTAGCAAACTAATTAAATCCCAGAATGAGCAGCCTCTACTTGTGGAAAGTGCAAATTTAGATAGTGCCTCAAACTATACCTTTGCAGGCACTGCAAGTCATGCAATAAGGTTTTGGAGTGTGCCAATAGATTGGTTTAGATATTTCAGAAACAGATGTACTTATTCAACATTCATTCACCAGTTAGCAAATGATTAGATTTCACCATCTGATACATATGGAATTTTACTCTCAAGCAGACTTCTGTTTATAGAGTTGCCAGAATAAAGGAGTGACAGTCCCTCATGGTAGAACTAAAATGGTTTAAAATGCATGCAAGAAATGTTTTTTCAGTACAGCCTCACACCCACAGAATGGTTCAAGAAATCTTAGCCAATGACAGTCCTTTATAATTACTTCAGAGCTATCCTTTTCCATAAATATAAATAAAGCATACAGAAATGATAGCTAGATAGATTACAGCCTTATTATCCAACATATACACACTACTTTCTTACTGGTGTCAGCTGAGTTCTGTTCCTGGGTCTTTAATCCCTCACTGACGGCCCTTGAAGATAATATCCTGACAATAAATAGATGTGAAAAGAAAAGAAATGCAAGATTAAAGTCTGAGCTTTGCAGAGGTTTGTTCTACATACTGTTTTTTAAAGCAAACATGATGTAAGGCATCATGATGTAAAGCTCTGGCATACTGAGAATATGGGCACATTTCATTAATACAAACAATCGTTTTTCAATATAAGCAGTGGGTAAGATGACCAGAGATATGGATGTACCTCAGGAATAATTATTAATTATGAATAAGTGAAGACTGAGCAATTCTCCTAACCCTTCCTAAACATTCAGTGCCTGAGAGGGGGAAAAATGAGACAGGATTGGAGGTGAGCATACTGGGGAGGGGAGGGGAGGGGAAAATAAAACTAATGGGAATGAGGCAAGAAATAACAATTTTCTATTTAGTATATTTTGTTCAGATTTAACAGGAAGCCAGTGTTATCTATTATAAGAATGAGTCACAGCAATTTATGAGCTTTTAAAAACAGTCATAATTCTCTTCTGGCCATGTGAAGAAACTTTATTTATTTAATCAATTTGTACAGCCGTCCATCTCAACAAGTGACTCTGGGCGGCGAACGAAATTAAAATAAAATTAAAAACAATTACAACCAACAAATTTCTCCTTTAAACTAACTAAACTTTTACAGTTGCATAAAAAGTTTAGGCACTCCTGCTCAAATGGCATTATACTTCTAGACTAGCCAATAATGGTAATTCTCAGGCACAGACATTCATTAGGGAGTGGGAGGAGGAGAGAGAAAGGAGGCACGTGATGACAGGCATGTCATGATACAAACTCTACCTGTTATGCACTTGAATGTGATGTATAAAAGGCACAAGTATAAAAGGGCAGAGTTTGCATCATAACATTATAATATACATTTTGGCATCATTGTGGTTAGAAAAAGTTGCCTATATCTTGGGCTGGTAGAGAAGTTAATTAAAATATATTATAAAAAGTACAACAATGTAAAAAGATATAAAATAAGACAGAAAGAGGCACTGTTGAAAAAGGGTTTCAAAATGGCCAGCTCTAGTTACCTGTCCTTGTATTTAAGATTCTGAAAAACAAGCCAATGTTCATTATGAACATTAAATCTAATGCTTACTGTTTCTCTGGTTGAACAACTGCAATTTTCTTTTCCTTATTCACTGTAAATCAAAATGAAACATGCTGAAGAATCAATGTAATATGAACACTGTAAAATATATCCTATGATGATACAAAGCAATTGCAGCCCTTTACATTATAATCACATAATCACAATGAATTGTGACCTAGTAACAAAACAGCAACATAGAAAAGATTTTAATTTTTTGATCTTACAAATGGGCATTTCTCCAAATCAATTCCTAAAAAAAATATTAATTTAAATGCAGAGGCTTCTACATTATTCATTTATTGCAGCCAGTATCCTCTAAAGCAGGTATAGGTGATGTAATACCCACAAAAACCTTGTTTAATTTATTCATAGGCCTCACGCCCCAGATGACTTTTAAAAGGAGTTTTTAAATTAAAAAATAATGGATTAGAACTTAGTAAGCTCCTTATTTGTAGGGATACCTTTGGGCCTCGCAAGAGGTTCCACAGAATGGCCCAGAGGATGGGGTGGGTGGAGGGGTAATTAGCTTGCTATATGGTAAACAGGTATTTTGCAACTAGCTGTGCCCTTCTATGACACCAGTTTCGCAAATGCATCAGCACATGCTATCAAAATATCAACAGTGACTTTGGCTCTAAACACTTGTCTATCTCTGCCTTGAATTTTATTTTGCTACTAGTTCTTAGGGCATTCTTAGACTTAAATAAAACTAATAATTTTATACCTCTTATATCCTTATAAGCATGTTTATATGTTGCAACATAGAATGTGCATCTTTTTATTATATTTAAGAAAAGCACATAAAAATACTCCAAAGCACTACAGTATATCTCATTGTCTAATCCAGTTATTATATTATTCATACCTACTGCTCTGCGAGGAGGTCTAAGCTGGTATCCATTAGTTTCACACCAACCTACTGGAAATATATTCATGGATTCCACACTCACTATGCATTCAGGGACTGGAATTTTAGAACCTGTATAATAATAATGATCATAATGTTCATAAGCACAATTGTCATCACTGCCACCACCATCATCACTACCATCTTACAGGGCTAACCAGCTGTAATACTTCTTGTGAATTGGCACATGCCACATTCACACGTGAATTGTCTCTGTCCTTGTCAATCAGCTCTGCCAGGCTGCAAACATTTGAGTATCTTTTTAAAAAGATTTTTACCATTAGGAGTAGTAAAAAGAAATACAGACTAAATGCAGCTATTTCAAAATCATTTTCTGGAGTAAAACAGTTTGCTACATATAATTTATGACACTCAGGCAAAATAATTTTGTAAATGTGACTGGTGGAAACCAAGGTCAAAATATTTCTCCTCTCAAAGATAACTTACTTTCCAGCTGTAGCCAGAGATAGGAATCCTTCACCTTTGTGATAGTAGCCACACAGATTTCTTCTGGGTTTTCTGAGTTCACAGCCTCAAGCTTCATGTTCTCCTTAAAACCATGCTCAGAATTTAACTAACACAAGCAAAACACAAGTTACGTGTTTATTACATATTTTAAGAGCCTTACATTAAAATACCAATGAAGAAATAGTTCAGAATAAGTTTAGCAGTAAAGTGGACGCTTGAAAGACACCAACAGAACAGATGGTGTGTACTTTGCAAGTGTGAAATATTTTAGAAACACATGCAATTTCAAATGAACAACCAAAGTAGTAACTTAAATACATACATATCAAATAAAATGCACAAGGTCTCTTGCTTCAAATTCAGACCTTGTACTACATAAAATTTATTTATTTATTTATTTATTTATTAAAGATTAAAATTAAACAAGGCAAAAAAGACACTTATACATAGTTGGAAACTTGCTTTATGGCTGAAGGAAGACTTGGTTATCTCAACTGAAAAAGTCCTGCTCTACCACTTCAACCTAGAAGTATTGACCTGCCCAAGATCTGAATGCAAACAACTGCCTATAATGTTCATTTACACATCACACCTTCCTCCTCCCATCTTGGGACCTCATGCCTTGGATAACCCTGCCCCTGAAAGTAGAATGCCTCTCTACCATTTTCAGTGGTAAATCAAAATAAGAAAATACCCTCCTCCCTTCACAAATAACACACTCACACACATGCAGCCTTTTTTATTCCCTCATCAGCCTATCCGGCTCTCCAAATAAAAAGAAATTCCTGAACCTGAAATACTGGGTGCTAAACTGAAGAATTCCAGTCAAGCAATCCATCAACTTTTTTTTTAAGTGTTACTAAATTGTTGTTGTTTTTGTAAATCTTAATACATTATGTTGTTTTGATAATAATGATATTTGAACAATATTGATTGAAGACTGTTAGCTAACTTTGTTAGCTGAACTTGCTAACAGATTTTTTTTAATCTACAAAGGAGCATTCCATCACCACAAACCCTAATTTGCAGCCTAAATTACATATGCAAGGAACAGTCTTACTATATCATCTGCTGTTTGCAGCCAAAGACACGAAATGTTAATGTTATACAAGCTATACTATAAATTCTGTAAAAATACAATGAATATTAATTGCTACAAGTATATGTTTAGATTTCATAGTCTGCTGTGAAGTCACATTCTAAGAACAAAGCAAGGATTTTAACACTTGGCTTTATTTCTATGTACTGTGACTAACAGACTTTAGGAATAAAATACGCATCAGTAAATAAAGCCATTCACACTACTTTCTTGAATGCTTACCAGAGGAAAACAGCTTTGGGGAGCAGCCTCAGCTCCACACTGCTTAAGATAGTCTGCCCAGTCAAAGTCTTGCCCTGGATAACCTATGAACAAAGGGGGGAAAAAAACTTTATTGGAGCATTTTAATCACATTCCTTCTTCAAAAGGTCAGGGTATCTCCCATTTCTCCCCCATTTGGCTTTACAATAATGCTGTAAGGTGGGTGATATTAAGATGATTATGATGATCAGTGTTACATGCTGAAATTCATAATTCTGTGCCCCTGAGTCTGGACAATCCTCATCTAATATTCTAATATATCACACTGGCTTCCTTAAACTTGAGCTTAAATATTAAAGAAATAGTTCCAGACTTCAGAAAAGTCTTCCCCAGGTCTACTTCTACAGCTGAATTATGCTATAAATAATCCTATATGCTATAAAATTATCCAAAATTATCCAATCTGCAAGACAGCTCAAGAAACAGAATTAGCTTACACAACTCAGTATCTTCAGATATAAAAGTTAAATGCTTCTAGAAGACTGATCAGGATGGATGGAGATTACATATACACACCGGGTGGAGGATTGAGATGTAAGCCATTTTTTAGACTCCACTGTACAGGGAAAAGTCCAGCACTGTTGATATGACAAATAAAAAGCTGACTTGTGGTACGATCTGGTCGCAAATCATCTATTTCTATCAAGAAATATTTATCATTGAATACCTGCAAGACAGAGAAATGCTTAGATAATATAAAATTGAAATCATACATAGTTTCACAATCAAATTCCAAGGCTATATTTACTAAGATCGTAATTGCTATTTTTTAGTTTTGTATCTTCTTGCGACTTTGCTAGGATAGTTAACAATATTGTATTAATTGTTCAGCTACCATAAAATAAAAGGTGACATATGACAAAGACTTGGGTACAACCCCTTAAACTCCAGATGCTGCCACTGAATATGACAGAAGAACATTTTTAAATACATGGAGAGTGAATATGTTAGCTTTTAAATTAAAATTTAAAATTAATTAAACTCTACTAGACATAGCTTGCCTGGCCCCTACTAAAACAAGTTTAATATCCTGTGCAAAGGGCAAGTGCAGCTCTTGGCCCCAGAAGGATTGCGTATCTCAAGCCTAAAACATCTTGCACTCTATAAGAAAGGACAGGAGAAAAAAAGAAATGGCCAGAAGGAATATACAATGTTACATCTGAAATTTAAAATGACAAATATAGGACAAGAAAATAATGTTTAATTCAACTAATTCAACTCTTTAAAAGATGAGAGAGTGAGAGCACTCTATTTCAGGGCCCTCCAAACTTTAAGTGTCCCAGGATATCCACCTGAGGAAATGAGGATGGAAATGTATCTGTATTTCTTTGTCTCTTTTATCCAGAATTTAAGGGGAAAAAAATCTTGAAATCAAGATTTTAAAAAGTTGTGCTTTAGACTGGGGAAGAGAGAAGGACAGTGGGAGGGATAATTTCTATCAAACCCCAAACCCTTGTCTCTGGCACACCCCCTTTGGGGATTTCTCAGGCTAGAATTTCCTGATGCTGCAAACAGCTGCAAGCAGCTGGTGGGGTGAAAGGATCAGATATCACAGCTTTGTCTCAGGCTTTGAAGGATGAAAACCTATTGCCATCCCAGATACCATCAGGGTGCTCACAAAGATGAAAAATAATAACAGACACGAATGCATGTGAGAAAGAGATATGTAAGAGGGGACAAACTGAAACCAGAAACATTTCTTGAAAAAGGCTGGAGCACGAAGAGTCACATAAGCTGACAAAGTACATTCTTGGTTCTTAGACCAAGCTAAATCCAAAAACCGGAGGGAATTCTGGAAACTTGGTATTCAGACAAATCAGCTGTCAACAGGCACATAGAGATAAACAACATTTATACATTATTCAAAAAAGACAATAAAAAGGAAACAAAAAGACCAGAACAGCTCCTCGCCAGCAATCAACACCCAGATAAACAGAGATTAACACCAGGATTAACACCAGACATACTATCAAGCAGTAAACAATACCCTAAACAAGGAACTACCAACTCAGACAGACAATCAAGCAGTAAACAACAGCCTAATCAAGGAACTATTAAGGAGAAAACAACACACCCACCAACACTGACAGGGCAAGCTACTGTATATAAACAGAGAGCAAACCCGACTCCCTTCTAGCGCTGAAGTTGTTACCCAGCTGGGTAACAAAATGTCTGCAAGAAAGCAACCAAGCTCAGGGAACCCCAAGAACTCCACAGTTCAACCCTGAATTACATATATTCTCTTCTATTAGTACATTTTAAGCCTAAAAATAAAAGAGCATTAAAAGATCTTAGCTTATCAAGAAATTAAAAAGAAGACCAAATTGGAAAATGTACTGTATGCACTGAAGTGGGAGCCAAAACAGTAAGGGGCCAAAATTAAATTTTTAAGTAGCAAAAGATATAACAAAACACAAAAATGAAACTATGAGAAGAAGAGCCAACAGATATGCCAAATAAGAAACCTACTTTATATGCAAAATGGGATGCTACACCTTGGAAAGAGTAAGATGAAAAAAAGAGACATGTAATATAAAAGGAATGTTGGCTATGCAAAAAGAATAAGAAATAAAAATTCACAGTCTTGACAATACAGAACTCACAGCTGTCGCAAAGGTTTACTGTTAAGAAAGTGATATAAAAACTGGGCATCTATTCCACATGTAGTTATTAATGTAGTTGTACAAATAGTGAGAAGATACATACCTATAAAAGCATCTTACAACTACAATTTATATTCAGTTTTGAATGCTTGTTAATACTATCTCTCTTTAATACCTTGCAAGATGTTAATTACACTATGGCATCAATACTGTTTACATTCCCGAAACCAGCAACTAGGAATTTTGGAACTAACCTATCCTCTTAACGATTCTAGGTGGCTTACAATAACCACAGATTTTTTTCCAAAATTATACAGTGCCAGTAAGATCCAAAAGAGCTCCATAGCCTTATTTATGTTATAAAATTGTTTCACTGGCTCAGGAAGTAAATGAAGTCAGACCTAGTTAGTACTTTGATGAGAAACTATCAGGGAATGCCAAGACTGTACAGTAGACAGGGAAATCAAAAGACATTCTAAAAGAAGGCAGTGGCAAGCCGCTTCTGGACTACTGAGAAGAAAACTGCATGGACGTGTCCATGAAATTATTAGGAGTAAAACTCAGCCCAAGGATATCTTTAACCTAGGATTCATTTACTTGACTTCATGAGAAGCCAAACTGAGTCACAAATGAAGAAAAAAAAACCCCAGATGCTCAAAATATTGTTCTTTTATTATTTCAATGTCTATTGAGGAAAATCACATTAGAAATTTTCCTTGAGAAAAATTTTCATCAATAATAATTTTATTTATTTTATTTATTAATATTTTAATTAATGTTATTAATATTTGTTTATACTTTTCCCCTTAGTTCTTGTTTCTTTGCTCTACATTGATATTGAAAGATTTTTATAGTTATTTATTTTAAATACATAGTATTTTACAAAAGAAGCATAAAATGGCAATGACGGTACAGTAACTGACAATTTCATCCAATTGCACCTAGGATTTCAGGGACAAAGGAATGTATTATGGTTTAACTCCAGTTTTTAAAAATATAAGAATTCAGCAGGTAGCTAGATAGGGAAAAAAATGAATTACTTCAGTATTAATAATGATGCACATATTCACAGCTGTAATTTGTAAATTTTAGTGCACTGAAGGAAAAATGCATATTTGTACATTTCTGGAACCACATAAAAGTTCTTTAAAAGATAAATGTCAGTGCTTTATTTTGAGCAACAAAGATACTACAAAGTTCTTAAAGCTACTCGTGAGTCTTGCTCTTTGCAATCCAATCCCAGATTAAAGGAGCTTTTATAGCTGCTGACCTGTACAGAAAATGAACTCTGCCTCTTCCATAATATGTTTTCATTTCACATTTCTTGGAGCTGAAGCTTAGAATTAAAAGCAGTTTTTGAGAACAAATATTGAAACACGTTCTTGCTGCAAGTGCTCTACAAAATTACTTTCCATTCAAGGTGACCTAAATATTAGAGTGTGAGTAAATTACAAAGAGTAGTTTTCTTTGCAACAGAATATATAAAACAAATTACAGTTAGCAGCCAGGATACTTGTGATACCTTTGTAACTGTAGCAGGTGATATGGCAAAAGGAGCTTTTGGATCAACAGCTTCCAACTTCATGTTTACAGAAAATGCATGAATTCCAACAACAGGTTTGTCCTAAAAATGGTAACAAAAATGGTAACAAAAACTGTTAGTTTCCATCTCTCAAGATTTTCTCAATATGTATGAATGTGTTTGTGTACACATACACACACACGCTTAGCATTCCCCTATTTTTAAAAAATTATTTTATTTTGTTTGAGTTGCTTTTCTTTTCAGCTCTGTATTGTTACTGTTATTTTAGTTTTAGGGGTTTTTAAAATTTTGTCAACATCAGTGAGACAGTCACAAAAAGAGAAAATTATTTATAATAGATAATGAGACCTGCAAAATATTTTCCTGATAAAAGACATGCCCTTATTGTTTAATATTTCACTGAGAGTAACATAGGATTTCTCCACTTATAGGACAGTTGCTCTCTCAAAAATGAACTTGACATGTTTTTTTTCCCCCTATGGCACAGAAATTTCACACAACTGTTTTAACTAAGACTTCTCTAAGAAACATTCTTCCAAACTCATCAAAATATCATATAATTATGGAATCACCTGTTTCTAAAAAATTGACAAAATAACTTTGGAAGTTTCAAAACTGGGTCTTGAGTTTGCAGGCGGGGAAGTCAAAAGTATATCTACTTCATTAATCTATAAGATAATCTATATATTATTTTATACAGTATATTTTCAATTTTCAATTACCCAGAGCTTCTGAGATCCAACAAGCCAAAAGCTTAATTAAAATACTATCCTGTGTCTAGTTCCCAGTAATTACTTTTTGTACATATTAGATTTAATCATACCATTTGCTAAGAATAGTCAACTATCATACCTTAAACAGATCAGTGGGCACTAATGATTCTTCTTCCTCTTCTTTTATTTTTGCTAGGATTTCTTGCCATTCTGCCTCAGTCTTCAAGTGCCTAATACCTTCAATAAAAGAATGATAGTTTGTTATCCCATTAAAAGTAAAACACAGAACTTTTAAAAATAAATCTATTATATTACTCTTGTGCCTCTAGTTACTTTATAAGTAACTATTTGTAAGGTAAAAAAATTCTTCCTAATCTATACTCCCTATGAATTTTGAATATTGCCTTTAAAAAACGCCCTCTTGGCAAACTCACAATATTCTTCTATTATAATTAAAATAAAAATACAAGACCTAGAGCATAAAAAAAAATACTTAAAACCATCTCTCTAAACTATAATACTAATATTAAAACATTAAACTGCTAAACTACTAAGTGATATAAATACACTAAACACCAAAATACTGGTAAGTTACTAAATATTAAAATACTTAATCCATTAATCAACCTCTTTATTACAAGTTAGTGCCAATATTTAACTTCCACACACTCAATATAATACGCTATATCCAATTATCATTATGCCAGTAAATTTTGAGTTTCTCCTTACAGTATTGCAAATTTTTCAGCAAGACAAAATTTCACTACTTGCCAGATGATTTTAAGTTTTTTATCTGTAAGTAGATATCTGGAGCTATCAAGATTTCTTTTATCAAGGGACTATCAAAATTCCACAATTGTCCCTATATAAACAACAACACAGAAGGACAGAGACCAGTGTTTCTAATGCACTCATCACTCATATATTTCATTATGTGGAGTATTCTTATGTCTAGGAATATGTATATATGTATCTTACATATATAGGTCATAGTTTATGGATGATCTCTGGTGGGAGCGGGATGGAGGTGGTGCATCCATCCTGGCTCTCCTTGACCTCTCAGCGGCTTTTGATACCATCAACCATGGCATCCTTCTGGACCGACTCCTGGGTGGGCAGCGTAGTCTTGTGTTAGTTCACCTCCTTCCTCCAGGGCCGGTCCCAGTCGGTGTTGATAGGGGAGGAGAGATTGGACCTGCGGCCCCTCCTTTATGGGGTGCCGCAGGGTTCGGTACTCTCTCCTCTCCTTTTTAACATGTACATGAAACCGCTGGGTGAGATCATCTGTCTCCATGAGATGAGGTATCATCAATATGCCAATGATACTCAGTTATACATCTCCATCCCGGGGAAAGTAAGTGATGCTGTGGCTGCCTTTTCCAGGTGCCTGGAGGCTGTGGGGGTCTGGATGGGGAACAACAGGCTTCAGCTGAACCCTGGCAAGACGGAGTGGCTGTGGGTTAACGGCCCCTCGGTCCCTAGGAATTTGCCATCTTTCATTCTGGATGAGGTTGCACTGCTCCAGACATACCTGGTGCGTAACTTGGGGGTCCTCTTGGACTCATGACTCCTGCTCGAAGAGTGGGTGGCAGTCATGGCCAGGAGGGCCTTTGCGCAACTTTGTGTTGTCCGCCAATTACGCCCTTTCCTGGACTGAGAGGCCCTTCGAACAGTCACTCATGCCCTGGTCATCTCCCATATAGACTACTGTAACGCACTCTATGTGGGGCTACCCTTGAAGAGTATCCGGAAGCTTCAACTGGTTCAAAATGCGGCTGCGCAGGCAATTTTAGGTGCATCATGATCAGCACATATAACACCTTTGCTCCATGAGCTGCATTGGGTGCCAGTTTGCTTCCGAGTCCAATTCAAGGTGTTGGTTATCACCTTTAAAGTCCTACATAGCATGGGTCCAGGGTACCTGAAGGGCCGTTTCATCCCCATTACATCAACCCGTCCCACCCGGTCATGCAGAGAGGGCATGCTATGGACCCTGTCTGCAAGAGAATTTCATCTGACGGGGTCCAGGAGGCGAGCCTTCTCTGCAGCAGCCCCTGGAACACTCTTCCCCTGGAAATGAGATTGGCCCCCTCCCTTTTAGACTTCAGAAAAAAACTGAAGACCTGGTTTTGTCATCACGCATAGGGTGGGGATGGGAATAGTCAGTTTTGGGGTTGGCTGGTTCCTTAGTCTCACCTTTAACCGATATTATCTGGTCACAGGCTGAAATAATATCACCATCTCTTGGATTTTATTGTATTT